TACTAATTTGCACATAAACCTTCTATGTGTCAAGACCGTCCAGAAAACAACTTGCTGGAAATGCCATGTCTCTTTGGTAACAAATGCAGTTGCACATAAAATCCCATTATAAAATCCTCACATAACCTTAAAACAGCAGCTTTCATGTTTATACTTTCTGCTTGAAGATTGGTCTGTTATAGTTGATGGTGTATGTTGACAGAAATACCGTACTGATTTATTAACAACAAGCCAGTCTCTTCAGCAATAGTAACTTTAAAGTGAATATCTTAAATCAATCAAGTAGGTAGGTGGCATGAAAAGAAGTCCCATTCTGACTGACTAACAACTAGCTGGTCTCTTCATCTGTAGTGGATTAAATACAGATACATCAAATCATTTTAGCTGGTAGGTGGTGTGCAAATTGTTGAGTCAGTAATTATGAATCAGAAAGCTAAGCTCTGCTGTATATTCATACTTGTGAAATTTTGCACTGTGGGATAGATAAGTATAGGCAGTATAATATTATATTTCACTGTCTTAGGCTGACTCTTATGTACAATTAAAGAATAATATATTGAATAGTAAAGAAATAGCTAAAATAATGACTTCTGTTTTAGATCGACCTTCACCTCCAGAAGCTCCACTTGAGTATGAGGAAATCACAGGATCAAGTGTAACCTTGTCATGGAAACCACCAAGTGACAATGGTGGTAGTGAGATTACGTAAGTTGTTTATGTAATTTTGACATGTTTCAGATGAGATCAGTTTCTATTATTCTCTTCCTGGTGGAAAGTAGGTTTGTTGCAGAATGCCAGCTCAGTTTATGAAAATTCTAAATAAAATGTGACCCTGTTGAAACAAGTAGGGGCATTGTATTTTAGAAGGTATTTAGTTTGACTGTCAACTTACATTTGTTTATGTATTTATTGATGGTTCTCTTTTGTTTCAGTGGTTATGTAATTGAGAAGAGAGACCTGACACATGGTGGTGGTTGGGTACCAGCTGTCAGTTTTGTAAATCCAAAATATAATCATGCAACTGTCCCGCGCCTTCTGGAAGGCACCAAATATGAGTTCCGAGTATCTGCTGAGAATCTCCAAGGTCGCTCTGATCCTCTCAACACACAGAAACCAGTTGTTGCAAAGAGTCAGTTTGGTAGGTTGTGATATAAAATCACATGAAATGTTTACCAATTAACAACATTCTATAAAACTTACTTGTTTGACTCAGTTAAACAAAGAAATCTGTGTTGAAAATTAAAAAAGTCTTCTTATTCAAGTAGGTTGCTTCTTTGCTTATTTAGTCAAGCNTGTTAACATGTTTACTTAGTCATTACCTAGCAATGATCATATATTGTTGCCAAGTACTTAAACGAGAAGGTGTTTATCACGCCATTGCCTAACTATACACATTACAATATGAAATGACATTGAATGCTGTAGAATATAGGAATGGTCCTTCAAGCTCCAGAGAATCAGGTGTCAGTAAAAGAGGAACAGAGGGCACTATCAGTTCCCTAATGAGGACAGCTGATATCTTTTCTCTCTGTGTGTGGCTTCTTTCTTATCATCATTCATGAATGGTTGGCTCAAATTTTTACTGAGGAATCAGCCTCTGTATGTTTGTTTCCATGTGTTCTGATATAGCACAATCACAGGTGCTTCACTGATGTTGTAATCCAAGCTGTTATTAGTGCATCATAATCTTTTAGCCAAGGTGGAAATGTCAATGCAGCCAAAACTTTTGACCAAAATGCTGATGTCAATACTTCCCAGTCATTTGACCAAGATGCTTGTTGTTCATGTTCTCCATGCAGTCTGACACCTGCATGCCATTTCCTATATAAATAGGATTTCATCCGTTGTCATTAGTTATTGCCTGAAAATTTGTACTCTGTGTTCCTCTGAAATACTGGAAATATTTTCAAATATTCTATGGCATCAGAGCCCAGAAGAAAATCCTCCAAAATTTTTAAGAATCACTGTAAAAATATAAACTTTACAAATAAAATAATTTTGTTAATATTATGGAATAAACTATAAATATCATACTGAATCTCAGTAGTATTTTATTAAATGTTTCAGTAGAGATTAGATATTTTGTAATAATGGATATTTTTGAGTGAATAATTGCTCAGGCAATTGGTGAAATATCTGTAAGACATGCAACATTCATCTGAATTATGAGTCTAATGGTCTCATAAGTCCACTATAGTTTGTTGGCCATTAAAATAAAGAACACAAGAATAAGGAAAATCTAAAGTAAAAACTAAAGAAGTTAAGAACCATGTGGGGGTTCAGTGACAATCTATATTTCCAAATGATTGGTCTTGTACTATTTATCATTCAGATTTCAGGAAATACTAATTTGCACATAAACCTTCTATGTGTCAAGACCGTCCAGAAAACAACTTGCTGGAAATGCCATGTCTCTTTGGTAACAAATGCAGTTGCACATAAAATCCCATTATAAAATCCTCACATAACCTTAAAACAGCAGCTTTCATGTTTATACTTTCTGCTTGAAGATTGGTCTGTTATAGTTGATGGTGTATGTTGACAGAAATACCGTACTGATTTATTAACAACAAGCCAGTCTCTTCAGCAATAGTAACTTTAAAGTGAATATCTTAAATCAATCAAGTAGGTAGGTGGCATGAAAAGAAGTCCCATTCTGACTGACTAACAACTAGCTGGTCTCTTCATCTGTAGTGGATTAAATACAGATACATCAAATCATTTTAGCTGGTAGGTGGTGTGCAAATTGTTGAGTCAGTAATTATGAATCAGAAAGCTAAGCTCTGCTGTATATTCATACTTGTGAAATTTTGCACTGTGGGATAGATAAGTATAGGCAGTATAATATTATATTTCACTGTCTTAGGCTGACTCTTATGTACAATTAAAGAATAATATATTGAATAGTAAAGAAATAGCTAAAATAATGACTTCTGTTTTAGATCGACCTTCACCTCCAGAAGCTCCACTTGAGTATGAGGAAATCACAGGATCAAGTGTAACCTTGTCATGGAAACCACCAAGTGACAATGGTGGTAGTGAGATTACGTAAGTTGTTTATGTAATTTTGACATGTTTCAGATGAGATCAGTTTCTATTATTCTCTTCCTGGTGGAAAGTAGGTTTGTTGCAGAATGCCAGCTCAGTTTATGAAAACTCTAAATAAAATGTGACCCTGTTGAAACAAGTAGGGGCATTGTATTTTAGAAGGTATTTAGTTTGACTGTCAACTTACATTTGTTTATGTATTTATTGATGGTTCTCTTTTGTTTCAGTGGTTATGTAATTGAGAAGAGAGACCTGACACATGGTGGTGGTTGGGTACCAGCTGTCAGTTTTGTAAATCCAAAATATAATCATGCAACTGTCCCGCGCCTTCTGGAAGGCACCAAATATGAGTTCCGAGTATCTGCTGAGAATCTCCAAGGTCGCTCTGATCCTCTCAACACACAGAAACCAGTTGTTGCAAAGAGTCAGTTTGGTGGGTTGTGGTATAAAATCATATGAAATGTTTACCAATTAACAGCATTCTATAAAACTTACTTGTTTGACTCAGTTAAACAAAGAAATCTGTGTTGAAAATTAAAAAAGTCTTCTTAATCAAGTAGGTTGCTTCTTTGCTTATTTAGTCAAGCCTTTCAATTACGTTGGGTATAAATTTTCAAATGGAGTTCTGAAAGATTAGTTGGGAAGGGTATTCAAGGAAGTGTCTTGCCATTTTACTATACTGTCTCAGCATTTTCCTGGGGATACTGAATAAGACCACAAGAAATCTCTGTCGAGATGGCTAATATCCTGAACAGGATTCGAAAAAGTACCCCAGTACAAGTCAGGAGTGCTAGCACCAACACTGCAATATTCAGTCAGATAATTTGTGACAACTGAAAATGAAGCCAGAGAAAATTTAGTGACTTAAGAAATTGTTTATAATTCAACAGTAACTCTGCAAACAGGATATTATACTGATAAATGAACTGACATCTGTAAATATACAGTGATTTATGAAAAAAATCGCATTACAGATGTTCCTGGACGTCCTGGTCGCCCTGAAGCTGTTGATACTGATAAAGACCATATAAAAATCAAGTGGAAACCTCCCATTAGCAATGGTGGTTCTCCAATTATTGGCTATGATGTGGAGAGGAGAGAACGCATGACAGGTCGCTGGGTCAAGCTCAACAAGGACCCAGTGAAGGTATTAAGATAAATAGCAGAAATTTTCTTGAACTTTTCTCAAATGAATTGAAATACAAAAGTAAGTATGACTTGTATGAAAATTATGAATTAATAGTGTATGGCACATTCACAATGTGTTATCAGAGTTGCAATGCATTTAATAGTTTCAACAAAGCAGATATTCAGATTTGGAGAACTGTACAGAAGAAACATGTAACCCCCATTTAAAATGATATTTGCTCGTAATATTTTTTGACACAGCCCAGCAATTTTGAATCTATTTTTTCTGTTCCAGCAACATTATAGATTATTTAATTATATTATATATTACATATTCTGTATGCTTGAAACTTCATCAAGACATTGAGAGAATTGCATACTACTTTTAATATGAAGGCCAGTTAACAACACTTAGTTTCCAGCACTCATAGTGTATAGGTCTTCCTTCAAATAGTACTTTATATTAATGTTGTATGAAAGTTTCTGACTGTAGAATATCTCTTTTTGAACATTTATTTTAATTTATATGAGTTGCAGATATTAATTATGTCAGTAGTGAAACATGATGGACAATGTTTCAGCATCTTGAGTATTATGATGACCACGTGCTAGAGGGTCGCCAGTATGAATACCGTGTTACAGCCATCAATGCTGCTGGCCATGGCAAACCTAGTGACACATCAGCAGCTATCACAGCTAAGCCTATGAGAGGTATATTTCATCATGTTTTCTGAATTAAGTGTACTTATTCTGTAAATCAGTCTCTTTTTTGTGGTTTTAATATCTTCTTGTACTAAGTAAAGTTTATCTTCCAGAAAAACCAAAACTGTATTTGGACGGTCTTATTGGTAAGAAGATCAAAGTGCGTGCTGGAGAGCCAATTAATATCCAAATTCCTTTATCAGGAGCTCCTATTCCTGTTGTTGACTGGACTAAAAACTCTGTTAAACTCCCAGAAACCAACAGGATTTTGGTAAGTCTCGTCTGAAGTAAGTCCCCTTCATGCAGAAAGACATAGTATGAAAGATTTATCGTCATATTGTTTGTCGGCATTTTAAATATTAAGCCTATTTATCTGTTATCATCTTATGCAGTTGTTTGAGTATCTTACCACCAGGGCTGTAATTGAGTCAGGGAGATGGCATAGCATAAGGGAAAGAAAAATATGAAATATTATCTTCAGTAATTTTTTGAGAAGTGAAGTAGTACATAAAAATCAGCAGTATTAGAATTTTCTTGGCTATAACATTTGTTAGGAATTTAATGGAATAAATTGAATGCAGTTTAATTGAGATAATCATTATAATTATTATTATTATTATTTATTTCATCCATAGCTGTAGACAGTTACAGTTGGACATGTCAAATAATAACAACTTCACATCAAAAATAACATAACTAAAAAATAACATTACATACACAGAGTGATTTATCACTATTTAGTAGTAGTAGTCTTCATTTCCATAAATCCAATACTAGAAATACATTCAGAGGATGTGGAGAAGTCAGACAAAACACATAAATAAAAACAGTACAAGGTACCAAGTCAATATACAGATATGTTAAATAATACTACTGAGATCATAAAATACTACTATAATTACTACTATACTATAATTTAGTAATACATTTCAAAGTACTTTTTAACTTAATTTAAGAATAATAAATACTCCAAAAGACACATAAGAATAAATATTTTAAACATACAGACAGATTTATCAACAAGCAGTCCATGTCAACAATTATTAAAAAATTCCTCAAGAGAATAGAAGACATTACAAAACAAATAATTCTTAAGTTTCTTCTTAAAAACATTAAAATTTATTACATTCTTTAATTCAATTGGAAGGTCATTAAATATTTTGGTTCCCATACTAATCACCCCTCTCTTGCTACACTCAGTATTACAAAATTGTACATACAAATTGTGTTTATGAATAGTGTTATAGCCATGAACATCAGAATACTGGGTGGTATGAATCTTATTTTTTATTATAAAACATAGAATCTCAAAAATATATAAGGAAGTAACAGTTAAAATCTTTAATTCATGAAACAAATTTCTACAGGAAACTCTATTTTTAACACCTTTTACCACCTTTACACATTTTTTCTGCAGTTTAAATAGAGCTTCAGAGTCCTTTTGCAACCCCCCCCCCCAAATGATACCGTATTTCAACACGGACTCAGATTTTGCAAGATACGCACTTCTTAAAACAGTTTGGCTCACTGAGTCCCTTAGGGATTTTATCAAATAGATAGTCTTGCTAAGTTTTTGACACATATTGAGTGTGGGTTGCCCAACTTAAATCTTCAGTAATGCAAATACCCCAAAATTTTACATCCACTGAACACACCACCTCCTTATTATTTATATAAAAAAGGGGTCTGGTACTTGGAATAGATCCACTTCCCTGAAAAAAAAATAATACCTTTGACTTATCCGTGTTTATTATTAAACGATTTTCATAAAACCAATTTTCTAATTGATTCTTTACATTTTGATTTTTTTCATTTAATGGTAAGATATTTTTTCCCGTAATCAATATATTTGTATCATCAGCAAACAGTACTACCTCTGCATTATGTATAACTCGGGGCAGGTCATTTATAAATAATAGGAATAAAAGGGGTCCCAAAACAGAACCTTGAGGTACACCATATTTAATTGCTTTAAGGGAAGAGGTAACTGTCTTAATTTTAGAAGTCTTTTGATCCATATAGTGAATTTCAACAAACTGTGATCTATCCATAAGATACAATCTCATCCATGCACGAGATATTCCTCTCAGTCCATGTGGTTCCAACTTTGCGAGCAGCAAGTTATGATTAAGAACATCAAAAGCCTGTGATAGGTCCAAAAATATACCAAATGCCAGTTGTTTATTATCTAGAGTTTTCTGAATTTCTTGAATAAAAGTTTGAATTGCTGTAAANCACATTTGGATTTTATATCACATCATTTGTAGTTGCATGGTCAATTTTACAATTTTTATTTAAATGTATCAGTTTGTGTACACTATTTACAAAAATTCATTAAATTGTTGGGATACATCCTGTGGGTTTGTAGCGTCTATTTCTAAAGAAATATTTTCTATTTCTGTACAATTATTTCCTGGCTCCTTTTTCATTATTTGCCATAGAATTTTTTAATTTTTGACTGATCTTTTAATAATTCGGTCATTTTCTCTTTGACGGGCAACAGAAATTACTTTTTTATAAATTCTCTGATATTTACTTCAAAGTGTGAACTGTCAGGGACATCTTCCTTTTAACAAACGTAATAGTTGCAGCCTCTGTCTAGATACCTTTGTCCCTTGTGTGATCCATTTTGATTTTTTTTCCCTTTTTTGTTCTTCATGCATTCCTCAACCTTCACAGTCATTAAAATTTTTAATATTTCGTTTTAAAGGAACACTTACAAATTTTTAAAATTCCTTTCAAAATTTTCCCTTAGAAATAAGAAGTCCTAACAACAAGACTGTATATAGTTGTGCACTCACCTTTTACTAGGAATATTCCTCTACCTTCTCTGGATGCTATCCACTTCATGCTAGTTTCTTGCATGTCTTATTCTTTGATCCTGGAGGCCACATGTTCCTCCAAAATGTTGGTTGACTTTTACTTACCACATAGAGACAACCCTCATTACAGGAAACTGCTTCTGCACAACAAGTTGATTTTAATTTTGGCAAATATATATTTTCTTCTTATCTGAAATAACACTGCATAATTTCCATGTGCCTTCTCCTTCCTTCTACACTATTAAAGTCAAAACCTTCTGCATATGGCAAACATCTGATCCTCACAATGGTCTAAATCCAATAATAAGCTACAATTTGCTCTGCCAACCATCACCATTACTGTCCCTGCATTCCTATCATTGGAACATGGAAATCCCACCCCATAAGTGCTTCCATCAAAATGTATACTCCTACATTTATCCAAGTCAGGCATGCAAAGGACAGGTTTGTCAGTGATCATAGCTGGAGCCTAGAGGCATAAAAGCCATAACATATCAACACTGCTGCT